AGCTTGCACCTGAAAAGCCACCGCAATTCGCTACCCTCGTTATTGCAGGGAAGAGCCTGCACAAGTCGAGCACAGTTGAATGAGATGGCCAATTTCGGGATTGAAAGATCAAATGTGTGCAAAACGCATCATGTTTTGATCTTCCTAGCTCCCTATCTGTCTGTCTGCTTAAGTGCACAAATATCTCACTCTGTAGGCTAAAACAGGAACCAACAGATATATACATGTATATACATACATACCTACATGCATACATAGATACATAGATACATAGATACATAGATACATACATACATACATACATACATACATACACTTATACACTTTATACATGCACTTACAATAGCGCTACAATGCCAGATATGAATATCACAAACATTAACATACAGTACACTACACTACACTAAGAAAACAGGGAAATACATCACAATTCTTTACATGAGACATACAGACATTACAACACAGTACAATACCGCAAACCACAATACACAAGTGCCAATCCACTACGATACATTTCATTTCATACCTAATAATGTGCATATACAGTCATATACATGTATATGTATGTATTTTTGATACACCTAGGCATGCTTCAACTTTCTATGCATCTGAGAGAGGAATACACAACTTTCAAGGACTCAGATGCATGAGCTATGTCGCTGCACCTGCAAATTAAGTTGGGTCTGGCGAGGTTCTTACGATTCCCGATTGCGAAAACTTGCAGCCCCGACTTCTGGCCACTATTTGAGGAGGCTGAGCAGCCCGAAAGCCGTCTGCTGGGGTTAAGCCGGTGGTCTCCTCAACGTCTCTGGGGTTTTTCCCACGACTACCGGTGGGTTTGTGGGTAGTCTTCCGCGGTTTCTTGGTGGTCTCTTGGTTTTTCCCCAGCAGTCTTTTGCTGGTCTCTTGGTGGCATGCAGGTGGTCTTCCGGGTCGTCATGGTCGCGTGGGTGTATCGATGGTTTTGACATACCGGCTGAGTCCTGCAGGCGGCACGCATTGTCCATGTTCGTTCAGGCCATTTCTGAATTGCAGTGCATTCTCTGCAGCCCTGAATGAGGAACTGCACATAAAATTGGACAACAACTCAGGTCCAGACATCGGATGCCAGCTCCACGGGCACCACGGCGATATAGGACACCTGAACCGGAACCCCTTGAGCTTCAGAAGCTTACGACCATGGGATGGCAGAAGCTTACTTGAAGTGATGGAGGGGCGACTCGGATGCAGGCTCTGGGACAACAGGAACAAGGAAACCAGTTGGTCAACGACTGCCTCCCATCTCCGGGCTGACAGCTGGCGTGCTTCTGCGAGCTCCTGGCCGCTGGCACAAAGCCAAACGAGACAAGATTTGAGTTGTTACACGGAAGCCAGAGCAGAAATCGACTGAGCAAAGGCCTCTTCCAGTCGCCGCAACGAAGTGACGGTGATGATGAGCTGACCTTTTCAGCGACAAGACACTTAGTAACGCAAGGTGTAAGATCTGTGCTGCGTGCACAAGCTCCAGGCACTCCAGTTTTATCACCAAGATGTGTATTCAACAAGGAAATACGTCAAATCAGAGCATGTGGCCAATGAAAATCATTGAATGCAAATCACCCGACATCCCCATCACTGAGGGCGTTCCACGAATGCCAATTTTGTCGCAACAGATCACACTTTGAGGTTTGCAACAGCAGTTCCATGATTGAAACCGAGAAATCCATGCTTCGATTACCCGAAACTTCCCTCTGCCGTGCCGCAGCCTACACTGTACGTGCCGTCAAGTCCTGTGGTGTTGCCTGCACCTGCAGCCAAGTAACCAGCATCCTGAGGGACAGTGCGTTGCAGTGGGGACGTGTCTTTATCGCAGCAGCGTGGCTAGATGGTTGCTAGGCCCAGTCGAAGAACTGTCTTCGATACTCTACTGTACAGCATGCAGGGGTTTCCGCAAAAGAGACGAATCTAGGGGCTTGGAATAAGCACGCCAAGTTCGTTTGCACGTGCTTCACAAGGCAAGGCACTTCTATTGATTGCAGCGAAGCTTGGTGTGCCTGGAGCCGTATTGCTACGTTGCAGCAACCGAAGTTTCAACCACATCATCTTTGAAGAACTGAGGCGCTGAATGGCTAAGTGTCCGAAACTAACTCTGCAACAAAGTCTTGGCCACCTAACTCCCAGGTTTCTGAATCCACAGCTTTGCACATGGCACCAAACTCGGAACCGATTACGCCAGGTTTCTACATCCAGAGTAGATGCCAGCGCCTGCCGCGCTGCCTCCTCTACCTGTGCCTCCGACGCGCCGTCGAGGTCGAAAACAAAGTCGCCTGTCGAGGGGGCGGAGGTGGTTTGGGCATGTCTGGGCTATGTTCAGAGGATGACGCATAATTTAGCTTTTAGAAAAAAATTACGTTCAAACATATTCCCCCCCGGGCGGGGGGTTGACATCACATCCAGATTGCTTAAATTCGAATTTAAGCCTCTGAACCAAGCAGCGGCCACCAGTCGAGCGTCACGGGAAAGATTTAAAATCGAATTTATGCCTTTCTGTCGCTTAGGGTCAAAATCCGAATTTAAGCCATCTGCAATCGACGAAAATTTGTCTACATACATAAATACGCGAAGTTTGAATGTTCTGAAGAAACGTTAAGCCTTGTCGAATCCAAATACTGTAAGCCTTTCTGAGACGGAACCCTGGAAGAGCGGTTTGCTCGTTCTTTTCAATTTCTCTACTCTCTTTCAAGCGGTTTGCTCCTTTTTCTGAAACTTTCTAGTTTTTTCGAGAGGTTTACTCCTTGTTTTTCACTTTTGTGGTCTTGGTCGAAATTCTTTAGTCTTTTTCGAGCTGTTCGCTCCTGTTCTGAATCTCTCAAGTTTCTTTCGAATGGTTTGCTCCTTGTTTTCAATGCCTCTAATCTCTTTCGAATTCTCTAGCCTCTTTCGAGCGGATTGCTCCTTCTTCTGAAACTCTCCAACTCCTTTCGAACGGTCTGTTCCTTGTTCTCAAATTCTCTAGTCTCCTCCGAAATGCAGTAGTGTCTTTCGAACGCGTTGCTCCTTTGTCTGAAACTCTCTACTTCCATTCGAGCGGTTTGCTCCTTGTTTTCAAATTCTTCTTTAGTCTCTTTCATGTAGTCTCTTTCGAGCGGTTGGCTCCTTGGTCCTAAAATCCCTAGTCCCTTTCGAGCGTTTTGTTCCAAGTGTTCAGACTCTCTAGTCTTTGTCGAACATTCTCTAGTTTCTTTCGAGCGGTTTGCTCCTGTTCCTGAAGCCCCCTAATCTTTTTCGAGCGGTTTGCTTCTTTGTTTCACTTTCTTCAATCTTTTCCAAGCGCTTTGCTCTTTTATGTGTCCCTTTTCGAGCG